CGACTTTTTAAACTATATACAATAATGAAAAACCATTGAAAATTTAAACTTTCATTAACATAAGATTTGTATTTACATCATTAAGTTCAAAACATTACAAACTTCATCAGAGCATACATACTATACGATTCTATTTACACGCTAACACAAATATTACATAAACAAATATATTGTATAAGGTGTTTCTGATCTGATCTTCAAATTGTAATATACTGCTATGCTGCTCCTAAGACTGGTCTTTTTGCTTTTCTGTACCTACGTGTAAACCACTTACACGCTAAGTCATAGACTTAGTGAGGCATAAACTTATAATAATACATTTCTTATGAATATGAGCATGTAACGTAATATTCATATAAAATCATCACTATTATTCAGAATCCCATCTCATTTCATATGATTCATTATAATCAATACTAATACTGTAACATATAATGCAATACACACATTTAATATTATTTATAGGCCCATGTATATACTGAGAACTTAAGGTATTTGAGTACATGGAGGTTGTGCACATCTGCTGTCACCACAACTCATATAAGTCCCACTGAGTAGCATATGAAATTTGTCCCTAAGGACCTATGAAAACCTCGACTCTTGGCATGCCAACTATACTTAGAGCTCCCATATCACATAACATGACCATTAGTGTTATACTTCATATAAGCATATACTTATGTCATTTCCTTTGTAATCACATTTATCTTTTCTTCTATCACATTTCACATGTGCATGTAACCATCAATCTCCTATCATGTAACATAAGTAATTGAGTACATTCATAGGAGTCATATAACATGTATCAAATTATATGTAACTTATGCATGTTTTTATAAATACCATAATGTATGCATGTATATAACTATTAGACTATGAAATTACCCTAGGAAATAGACTTATCACAAGTCTTATTTCCATTAAATTGTACCTATATTATGCACTCACCTTGGCCTTGCTTGACTTGAATCAACTCTATAACTTTAACTCTTTCTCTCAACCGTTTCTAATTCTTCGATTGTTTCGGAACAAAGTTAAGTTCAATATCTACATAATCATACATGGATTCATATCAGTATTCTAATTGATATACTCTAATATTTTATTTCTTAGACTAAAGGAAAGACAAATTTCATTTCTTATCTGAAGTAGGTATCGGTACCCTCTACAGGGTATCGATACACCCCTCAAGTGAGGTATCGGTACACTGACTAGGTATCAATACCTAAATTACATTTGAAATTTTTCGTTTTGAGGGGGTATCGATACACTCCTTAAGGTATCGGTACCCTTTGCATATCTTCCTGAATTTTACTATTGAGGTATGGTACCTGTTGAATGAGTATCGATACCCCTATCCCAGGAAATCACATTTTAAGCACAAAAATCACTTCATTTCAACTTAAACACTTCATATTTCATCCCTTCACATATTCCTAACTTCATATTCAAACCCATTTCTACTCATTAATCACCTCTTTAACCTCAAAATCATATCTTCCATATGTAATTCAAGAATTACACCAACTTTGCAACATGTTCTAATTCCAATTCTAACACTTCATACATATTAATTAGGTTGATGACAAGTCAAATTTGATATAGAATTCTAAATACTATCTTTATACCAAGATTTCACTTATTTACTTCATTTCTTTAATCATTCATATACCTTTAATCTTGTTGTTTTAAGACAAATTAAGATTTCCTTAAGCTTAATTACCATCTAATGATCATAAACCAACCTTAAATTCAACAAGAAATTAACTTATAAAAACTCACATTTGATTTAATCTTTCACGTATTAAGAAGGAAGAAGGAGAAGAGAACTCTGAAACCTTTTGTTTTCTTCCCCCTTCATTCCATGTGGCTTAATATATACATAACCAAATTTAATTATTTATTTGCCAATAACCATTTTGTCCTTCAATTCCATCTTCCTTGCAATTCAATCCTATAACAATTTATCATGTAAGTCATTGAACTATTCAATTATTATACTTTAATCACTAAATTCTGAAGTTTTACAATTTAGTCACTAACCCGATATTGAGGATGTTACAAGTATTTGGACAAAATCTATCTCACTAATTGTTATCATAATTCAATTAATCTTGTTGGTAAATATTTTAACCATATCTTGGTGAGAAGTATTTAGACAAATTTATGCAATTGGATTGTCTTAGGGTTGCATGCACTTCGTTACCCCCTCCATTTTGTGTCAGCCGCTACTCATAAATATCAAGAGCTGAAATGAACGTATGGTTTTATATTATAATGAACTTATAAAATTTTAAGAAGATAAAATATTTAGAATATATGAGAATTTAAAAAATTTCAGCATTCATTGGTCATTTTCAGTCCATCTCTGGTGACGATGAGCGTTCAGATTCTAAACCGATCACACCATAAACACACCATAAACTGATCGAACATGTCTTACATTTTTCACAATTATTTCCATGTTTGAATCAAAAGATAATGTCTTCATGTATATGCATGTTAGAAGTTGTCTGTAGAAATGAGCATTTGGAAAGCTTTATTTTTAAGAAGTGTAGGTAGAATTTTGATGTTTATTTGTTTGAGAATGATGGTATTCCGCCACATTCTTACAGATACGAGTGCCACCTTTTATACTCCAATTGGATATATGCGAAAGGTTGAAGAAGAAAGAAATTACATAAATAAGGAATTTGAACAACTAAATTTAATAATGAATCAGTTTTATAAACCCTAAACCTAAATTTCATAGAAACACACAAACAAAACCACATGGCCGATTGTTATAGAAAGAAAGTAGGGTGCGGCAAAGAATAAAGACATACATGCAGGTCGTTGGCAGTTGGCGACCGAAAGAGTGCGACAACGGCGTTATGCTACGCTGGTGGTGGTCGGTAGGCTATGGTGGCTGTGCTGGGTTAGGGTCTGGAGAATTAAAGATCGGGCATGAGAAAAAGGGAATATATTTATCATTTCGCGGCGTTTACAAGAAAAACACCACTAATGTATGCGATTTTGCTTCGCTTTTTATAACAAACACAATTATAGATGAACCCTATTACAACATTTGTATAAAAACACCGCTAACATACTACTATGTTGCGGCGTTTGTATAAAACGCGGCTGACGTATTAATCTGTTGCGACATTTTTTGAAAAAATGTTGCCACTATAGATTAACCCTATTGTGGCATTTTTGTAAAAACGCTGCTATAGTAATTATCTAGTGCGACGTTTGTTTAGGAAACACCACTAAAGATGAACCTATTGCGGTTTTTGTATAAAAACGCCATTATAGGTTAACCATATTGCGGCGTTTGTATAAAAATACCGCTAAAGTTACCATTTTGTGGCGTTTAGTATGTAAACGCCGCTATATGTTTAAAGTTAGATGCATTTACCCTCGAAACGCATCTAAAAAAGCCACTGTAGAACATTTTTGCTGCAGTGATTCAAAATACAACCAAAGTTGCAACAATGCAGTACTTAGGAGGGGGAAACATCAAGGAATCCCCCAATCAATATACAATTTGGTATTTACTCTATCAGTTCTGTCTATACAACATGTTTGTAAACATATGCTAATCACCTCCTTTATATAACCAACTATTTTATCAATCGAGCGAACATTCTCCTAAACTGCCTGTTATTTTGTTCTTCTCAAATACAATACAAAAATCCCGTCCAAGTAAACTTAAGGATACAAACAACTAAAAACTTACCTTTCAAACTATCTACAGCCCAGCTCATAGTAGCTTTCCATCCAAACTACCCCTGTTGCAGACCAAAACGCTATTGAACATTGTCCCAAACTCTGCAAGAGTAAGAACACTCCATAAAAAGGTGGTTCCTAGTCTCAGCGTTAACTCCACACAAAATGCACATTTCATCCGTATCAATTTTCACATGTGCAAGTCTGTCTTTTGTTAACAATTTATCAAAAATTGACATTCAAGCACATGTAGAGGAAACCAAATGAGCCTATACCATTGAATTCTAGTCCTATTTTCTCTTATACTGTCCCGAATCCATCTACTAGTTACTATCGACTAGTTAACACCATTCCTAAAAGTCTCTAGCCTCATCCCTCAGGTTCAAAAGTTTCCTCACGGTCTAACTATAAAAGCTTACAACTAACTTGTCAATAATCATCACCTTTGAAGACATATTCCTTTATCCGAGCTATAATAAACTTATATTTATTATTGAAATGGGATACTCTGTGCAGATTTAATTTTTTTTAATAAAATTGTATCTTGGTTTTATAAAGTACTGTCTCCTAAACTCCTTTATAAAATTTTCATACCAAATGAAAAATAAATTCATAAAATAGTTTTAGAATAATCAGTAAAATAATAACAAAATATTTAAATAAAATTGACTAAACATTAAAAATATATCAGACTTTGTTTTGTTTAAAAAAATGTAGGTCATTTTCAGTTTTGAAAAAAAGAAAAATATTGATGAAAATATGTTTGGTTAATATTTTGAACACGTTTTAAGAATATAAAAACAAAAAATATTTAAAATTATTTTTATTACTTCTACCAAAGTATTTCATAAAATTGAAAAAGATAAAAATATTTTGAAATTTAGTAAAATGATACGAGTTCAAATTTATATAGATACAAAAAATATTTTTTCAATAATTTTTAAATACAAAATCATTGAATCTGGTTCAAATTCCTATAAATATAAGATTTTTATTTTATTAATCAAATATTTATTTTAAGAAAATAGTTAACCAAATACTTTAAGTAATGAAGATAAAATTTTACTTTTGTAATAGCACTATCTGAAATTTTGGAAGTAATATAATGACAACTCAGCAATCCGCGTCGCAAAGCAACGGATCAGAAATATGAAATATCCAAGCCATCTCTGCCGTCAATTATCTCACTCGTTTCAAATGTATCCAACGGTCGTACATATTCCACGTCATTGATCCTCGTGAAACTTAAACAAACCAATAATTCCCGCAACTTGTCTTTCTATAAAGACCACCTAACCTTACATCAAATAACCCAATCTCAAAGTTTCATCGAATCCAATTCTCTCTTCTCTTTTTCCCAAAGCCAAACAAAAGCTCACCCTTAGAAAAAGAGATGGCACCCAAAGCTGAGAAGAAGCCAGCGGATAAGAAGCCAGCTGAGGAGAAGAAAACAGTCGCCGAAAAAGCTCCGGCGGAGAAGAAGCCAAAGGCCGGAAAAAAGCTTCCCAAGGACGGCGGAGCAGCCGCAGCAGACAAGAAGAAGAAGAGATCTAAGAAGAGCATCGAGACTTACAAGATCTACATCTTCAAGGTTCTAAAGCAAGTCCACCCGGACATCGGAATCTCAAGCAAAGCCATGGGAATCATGAACAGTTTCATCAACGATATCTTCGAGAAGCTTGCTCAAGAATCTTCTAGACTCGCAAGGTACAACAAGAAACCCACCATCACTTCTAGGGAAATCCAGACCGCTGTCAGGCTTGTACTTCCGGGTGAACTCGCCAAACATGCCGTCTCTGAAGGTACCAAGGCCGTTACCAAGTTCACTTCATCTTGAAAAGGGAACTTAGCTGGGCTGTTGTTAGGGATAGGGTTAGGATTTCCCCTCTTTTTATTTAGGTCGTGTGATTTTCTATGTTTAATTTCCAAAATTTCGGCATGTGTTTGGATATTTGGTTTGTATTTGAACGTGGATCTACTCGATCCCGATTTGTCCCTTGTAGAAATTAATGCAATCAAAAACAATTTCGCTTGATTTCTTAGAGCTTACTTGTTCAATTGAATAACAAAACTAGAACTGGACGGTAAAATGGAAACGTGGAAATTACATTCTCAATGAACTTTGATTTATGGGGTTCCGTTGTTGTAGATTGGCTCGTGTGTGGCAGCCTCACGCAAACGGGTTCCATCCCATTACAGGACATGGTTCCTGCAGCCGCCATTCTCATTCAGAAACGAGATTATTCTAGTTTGCGAATCATCTTTGGAAACGGGAAAACGACTTGCGCATGAAATATGTAATTTCCTTCATATATATCATTGGTAGGCGGATCGCAGACATGCTGGCAACAGTTAGCTTATCTGATAGTGTTTGTAAACATCCATCAAAAGAAACTAAAACGGAAAAAGTGTAAAGAGCTTACAATTTTCTCGCCTATGGCTTTGTTGCAGCCGTCGCAACGGATATACACCACTGGCAGGTGATAGCGAAACCAACGAGTATTTGTACCATCTTCCCGGACATTGGCACTATATAACCAGTGAAGCGCAAAGATTAAATTATGATTATTCTAGTTTATTACAGACAACGAGAAGTATCTTACGCACTACGGCAGAGAATTCCTTCCGCCGTCCCTGGCCGAGCTACCTGAATTTTCGTAGTTCTTTATTTAGTACATTGATTCAATATTATATATATCCTAAAAGTAATAATCAACGATTCAACATATGATATTTTATGTTTTCAGTTAAATTAGATAGTTTTCTAAAGTTTCAGTTAAAAAAGGAAACGAAAATAGAGATAAAAGATTATTTTCTGCGATTCTTGATAGGTAGAACAAATAATCCCACTAAGAACACAATCAAGAATTGAAGTTGCAGTAAGTAAAGAGAGAGAGTTGATAGATAATAATATAAGTTATAATTTACATTAGAAGTAATTTAATATTTTTTAACCGAAATGATGTTTACTTAATATATTTTAGACTTTTAGTAGAAGAACTAATTACATTAGAACTAATTTCATACTCATTATAACGGCTCCCGACCGAATTCTTACGTGGCAAACTCCTGATTCGTTATAAAACTGAATGTAGAAACAAACGAACCGTACCTAATCCTAGCTCTCTTCTTCACAATATTTAAGTACACTATCGCCGAAATCTCTGTCCATAAAGTGAAACCAAGAGTCTGCTTTTAGTTTTCTCTCTTTTTCTCTTCTTGAAATCGCAGAGTTGTTTCGCAGCGCTCTCTCTCTCTCTCTCTGTTATCTTTTTCTATTTGCATGGCATCTCAAGCCAGTTTCCTCCTTCAAAAGCAGCTCAAAGGTATTGTTGTCTTTGATCGTTTTCAATTTAATGAACATACGAATGAGTTCTTTTCGTGGGGTTTTGATAAGATTTTTTAATCGAGTTTCGATTGATCTTTTTGCAGATCTTTGTTAGCATCCTGTTGATGGGTTCTCAGCTGGATTGGTTGATGAGAACAATATCTTTGAATGGAGTGTGACAATTATTGGACCTCCTGATACTCTTTAGTACGTTCTTTTTCCTTTTTGGTAAAGTTTGTCACTTTAATTGAAATTAAGTGTTTCTTTTGGATTCTTTGATGTGGCTTTTGTTTCTTGTCATTGGATCATGAACTGATGTTATATTTTTGTTGTTCTCGAGTAATCTTTGCTTTGTAGCTTATGTTTTTGTTGTGTCCTGTTGCTTATTCTCCGTGTAGCATTATTGTTCTTTAGTAATCTTGACATTGAATTGGGTTCTATTGAAGTTGTTTTTAGTGTTCGTTGCTGAGACTAATTGTTTTCTAATTTTCTGATTTTTTATTTTCAATGTTGCTTAACATAAATATTCTATTTTTTTAGTGAGGGGGGTTTTTCAATGATATCTTGAGTTTTCCACATAATTATCCAAACAGCCCTCCAAAAGTGAAATTTACACCAGAGATTTGGCATCCTAATGGTATACCTTTTGTTTACCCAATTTCTTACTTGCCTTTATATAATGCATGAAGCCATTAAATAATTCCATCTTTACGTGTATTGCAGTTTATCCTGATGGGCGTGTTTGCATATCAATTCTTCATCCTCCTGGTGATGATCCAATTGGCTATGAGCTTGCAAGTGAGCGCTGGATGCCAGTCCATACGGGACATCATATATTTTTGAAATTTCTTTTGTGCTAATAACATTCATCTTCATAATACCATAGATTTCAAATTTTCTTGGAGTTTATATACTTGATTGCTATCAAGTTATTTATTCAATCAGACAATGAAGGAACATCAGAAAGAACTGTAATATTTCCTGGAAATAGGAAGAGATGTGCATGTAATTAGAAACCAAAATTCTATATGAATCTTATTAGAATGATTTGTTCTGATACTGAATGATTTATTTTTATGTCATAATTCTATCTTTATGTGTATCGCAGTTCATCCTGATACTGAATGATTTATTTGTATGTCATAATTCTATCTTTATGTGTATTGCAGTTTATCCTGATACTGAATGATTTATTTGTATGTCATAATTCTATCTTTATGTGTATCACAGTTTATCCTGATAATGAATGATTTATTCTTACTAGAATGAATGTTGAAAATGATGAATTTCGTGGCATAAGTGAGTTTGATGGAGTTCACTAATGTGACGAGAATATTTTATGAGCTTAAGATACCTCGCAATCTTGACGGGTAAATTAAAGGGGACGGTAGATGATTGGTTTTGATTACAATGATTTCTCAGGTGATAGAGGGCTAGATATGTAAAATTGAGCTGTATTGGATAAATGTGAATGACTCGAGAAAATATTTCTTATGGATTATATTGTTCCTTCAATTGGTGGGTGCTAATATCAGTTAAGAATTACTAATGTATTGATCATATCCATGTCTGGACCAAAAAGATAATAACCCGAATGGAATGAATTAAGAACTATGTTGAAGGTGGAAGATATCTGAAAGAAAAAACAATAAAATACTGAAAGAAAACATGGGGGTAACTTGTAAATCGTCTGAGTAGCTTAAATTGGATGAAATGGAGAACAAAAATCATGTACATTTACATAATTAGTTTCAAATAAAGGCTTCGTTGAGGTACTGTCAAAAGTTTCAACAACCTAATCTGTCTTATTATTTCCTCTTCATTTATTTAATTAATGATCCAGAGGATTTTCTGAGGTACTTTCAGTTGTGATTATTGGATCTTAAGTTCTGTATGGCTTGAAATGTTTGTCAATCTGCTCTTGACTATTGTTTTTCGCTCATTTTTTGTTTCTTGACTCTGTGATAGTGCACTAACAGATGTGCATTCATACTATATGGCAGGTTGAAAGTATTGTTTTGAGTATCATATCAATGCTTTCCAGCCCTAATGACGAATCTCCTGCAAATGTTGAAGCTGCAATAAGTGATTGTCTGGATTCTTATATTTCCCTTTCTGTGGAACTTTGTCCTTTTAATTGTTGGTGCTTATTAGATGTTATGGTGGATTCATATCTGAATGTTCGATTCAAACTAAGATGACATGTACTAAGGGGTTAATGTGAAGGAACATTCTTGGATTAAGCTCATGTTTCTATCATTAATCAAAAGGAAATGAGTACTCAGATTTTATGGTGTTCTAAGATGCAGTTGTGCTATCCATCCTTTTTTCCTTACAATCGACATCTTCTTGAGTATATTCGCAGAAAGAATGGAGAGAGATGAGAGATGAATTCAGGAGGAAAGTTAGCCGCTGTGTCAGGCGGTCTCAAGAAATGTTGTGATCTGTTGCTGCCGCTTCTTTTCTTCTTCCCTACAGTATGTGTACCCAGGGAATGCCTTGAGTAGGGCGTGTCCTTGTAGAACGCCATCTGAAATTCTCACAGTTATCTCTTTCTTTAGTTCAATTCTCCTTTGGTTGGAGTAATTGTAATAACTCTCAAAACCTTCTCCCGTATTCAAATGTGTTTTTTGCTTAACTGTTTGTTGGCAAACATTATTGTCGAGTCCCTGTTTATCATAAAATGGTCATTTTGACAGGCGATTCTCAAATACTTTTTCACTAGTAAAACTATAAAATGAGGTTGAGCATAAAACATTATTAAATTATGTAAATTATTATAAGGGTAAATTATTTCACATATTATACCTTTTCCGATTGTCTTGATATCAATCATGTATAATTTATCTTTAATATTTTAGTGGATTTAATAATTTGAAACAAATGAAATAATAATTTAGATTTGAACGAATGAAAATAATTTTAGAGGTAATTTAATACAGAATACAAAATTTAGGTGTAATAGTACATCTAAGTCTAGAAAGAATGAAAGGGAGCAAGTGGCGTCCGTCCATCAACATTAGCAGTTGGACTAATGAATTTGCAATTTATCACCCGACTAATATCCCCATTACTAAGATGAGTTTCTTTACATAATTACCGTACACGTCTCACTTAGCTGAGCTGTCGTTGGCCCTACCCAACGCCACCATTCACTTCTACTTCCATTCTAATACCAAATAAATTCCCGTGAAAGTGCAGAAAACCTTTCTACCAAAACCATAATATTCATGGAGATTTTCAGGTGAGCTTTCTTTTTCATAGATATATGTATTTTCAAAACTATTTGTTTAATAAGTACCTGATTTCAGATCGTATCTCGTTTGCAGGTTGATTTTTTAGTTAGATTCGAAGAGTTAGAGCTTTCTCGTTTGACTTTGATCTGATTAGTTGAGAATGTGGAAATTTTCATAGGTTTCTCATTTTGTTTTTTTTCCATGGAAGAGAAAAAAGTTTATAAAGGGGATTTAGTTGTTTCTTCGAGTCCTAAATCAGTTTCCAGGAGTAGTTGCAGGCAATTATCTGCCGTACGGAATCGTGTAAATGTTAAGGATGCAGCAGGTCATGCAGCGATATTTTTGCTCAAAGTTGCTGCGTTAGAAACTGTTAGAAGGGTCTCAAAGGCTAAGTGTCCTTTTTTATGGCGCGGGTTTCAGGCTCTGCAAGTTATTTGCTATCCGCCCTTTAATCGTGTTCAGAAATGGGTTCCCATTAAGGGTTTGATAAAAGGAATGCAGGTTGTTCTTAACAAATTTTTAGAAATTTTCATGTTCAGTATATTGCTTGGTGGAATTATTTATGATGAAGGGCTAAATTTGAACAACTGATTGACTTTGTTCCAGACATTGTCGAGACCGCTATTGGTACTTTCAATCGTGACATCACTTTCTGATCAAGAAGAGTTAGTTGGTGAAGCCTCAGGAGTTAGCGCTAATAGTGATTCTCTGGTGATCCCAGAATTGCATTCTGAGGAACCCTCTTTGCAGCCGGCTTTGGATGCAAGGTAAGTAGGTATATTCAAGCATTCGAGTATGTGAAGTTTTTCTTTTTGAGGACTTTTATATTGTTTTAATGGCGTATCAATCTTGATAGGAAGCAATATTTTCTCCCCTACAATCTAAAATTGGAAATGTAGGTTCCCTTATTGTAAAATGATGTCTACTAATAATCTTGATTTTGTAGTTAACAGATCTCAGCTACTAATATTATACTGTTGATTGGTTATGTACATCAGATTTGGCCCATATCTATCCACTTCAAATCTGATGGTTTTTTCTTCTGATGAGGAACCCTTCCTGATTTGCACATGTTCAAATAGTACCAAATAAAATGCATCACCTATTAGGTTGAATATGTTTAGACCAGGTTTCCTCCTTAAATATTCTGGGTTTGCATGTTTCAAGCAATTTGATGTTCAAGTTGACTAGCAAGTGACTACTTTACATGCATTTTTATGTTATCCCTTCTATTAGGAACTTGAGTATATCCTCAATAGCGAGCTTTGTTTACTATCCTCTTAATTCTATGTAAACTGCTGAATCAGTAATGAAGCTTCCCAAAATCTAGAGTGTGAAAGCTGGTTGGACAAACTCCACAAGGAGCTGGAAAATCAAGGAATTAGTTTACTAGAGAGGTAATTTGATTACATCTGTACATGAATGCATGCATTTTTTTGTGTTTTTTTTTTTGGGGGGGGGGGGAGCTGAAAAGTAACAGCCAATCAATCTACAATCATTCACACATTCGAGTTCCAGAACCCAATAGTGACATGACATGAGTTATAAACTTCTTTCATTTACTACATTTAATAGTTCGTCATCAGGTTGTTTGCTTTCCCTGCTTTTATTCATTACTAATAATCGATGGACTTTAGTGTTCTTCATCTCTCTCAAATGTCAGCTCTCTATCTAGATGTTTCAGCTGTAAAATTTTCAGGGTGGCATCCAACTATGTTTTGGGGATTTATTTGGTTTTTTGGCATATGCATATTCATTTTTGAATTGCTTGGTTATTTTCTAGCAGCAGACCATGACATTGTATTGTTTATGCAGAATCAATGATGAATATCTCCGTAGATTTTATACAGCTGCAAATGGTGACTTTGTAGTTTTCCTATCATCAATTAAAAAGACAATCAGATGGAGGGAGACATATAGACTTCTTTCTCAAGAAGAGCTTGAGACGTGGGCGAACTTGGTATTCTGGCATGGATATGATCTCATGCACCGACCTTGCCTCATTGTAAGGCTTGGCTTAGCTTGCTCCCGCTTGCCATCTCAAGACAGACCTCGTTTTGCCCAGGCAGTCAGTATGTTTTTATCCCCTGAAGTACTATTTAGCTTTCAATTTTGCTACCATTTGAAACCTAATGAGACTTTTATTGGTTTCAAATCTTTAAATTTTTTTTTGTTTAATATAAGTTGGTGGGAAAAGTCTCTTTCAAATAATTTTTTTCCATCCGAAATAGCCACCTGGAGTATCCAACACAGATGTCATTGAAACCTTGTTATCTTCCTGTATCACATCTTGTTTCCACCAAGATGGATACTTTTCTGTACCGTTACACTGCTTTGTTTCCTCTGGGTTTGCCAAGCGACTTTTTCATCAACTCAAAATTAGACATTCTTAAAAGAATCTATTTTCTGGACCAGCATTTTATCTATGGAATTCAATTTATTTTCTGTGGGAAAAGCATGCTGGAATCTAAAATCATTATCTTTCACTTGTAATAAGACACTCAAACAGAGACAAAACCATATCTTTTTAATAATCACCATGGGTTAGTTCTTGAAATCATTCATCAATGTTTTGGCCTCCATTATTTCCTTGTACTTTTTCTTTTACTTGCTTCTCTGTATGATGTTATAATAAAGAGAAGTGGTTGTTGCTGCAGTTTCTCAAGTCGAACATGGAGTCATGCATTTAATCAATTCAGAGAATCCTGAAGTTACAGTTTTAGTGGACTGTGAAGGATTATCTCCTTTCAGAATTCCCATGCAAATAATAAGATCATGCTCTTCCCTGTTGCAAGACCACTACCCCAACTGTCTTGGCTGTTTGTTTGTTATACGACTTCCTCCGGTTGTTCGTGTCATAGCTCAGACTTTTATTAAGGTTAACTCTCCTCTGACTAAAATATGAATGTGTTTATCATATATCCCATCATATCTTTTTTATTTTGTTCTTTGGCATCAAATATGATAAGGGTTTAGTTCATTTCCTTCTTGTTTTGGTACCAATTTGTGGCTTTTCTCAGGTTCTGAAGCCAGTTACTAGGAAAAAGTTAAAGATTGGAGGAGAAATGTACCGCAAAGTTCTCCTGGAGAATCTTCAGACTCTCCCATCATATCTTGGTGGAGATTGTAGGTGTACAAAATGTTTAAATATTGTCTTTGATGTCAAGTGTCCTCGCCCTGACCAGTTCAACAAGATACGTACAAATGAAGATGTTAGTGACAGTGAGGATCTATCCACACTCGATCTGATTTATCAGGATGATATCGACCAGAGTTGGGGCTGTTTGAGAACTGTCATAATAGGCCTGCTCATGCTGTGGGTTCTTATAGCTATCATGGCAGGATTATATGATCCTGAAAACCACTTTTTTCCATCTCAATGAAAGAGGCGCCTTTTATTAGAAACCACCCACTTCTTTTCTTGTTCAAGGCCAAGTATTTTGATATTATTTGAGAGTGCACGCTGTCTCTATTGTGTTTAAATCCTTTCTGCGTTATTGATGCTGTGTTTAGGAAAACTAGGTTCATTGCAGCTAGCTACGCAGCTCTATTTTGTTGTCCAATATGTTATGTAAGGTAATAAGATATTGTCATATTCTCAATGTCAATTCTCTCTACCATGATATGTTTACTGAACTTTATGGCCTCGTTTGCTGTAAGATATTAATGATATAGAATGGGAAGTGGTTGCTAATGAATTTGGATGGTTATACTTATGATCTACAAAAATGCCCCAAAGCTGGTTCAACAGGAATAGGATCAAAGATGAGGCTATTGTCTTTGTAATGGTCCAGCTTATGTGCAACAAAGTACATTATACAATCAGATTATTCACTGTGATGACTGTTCGATTACACTTCCTGTCAATTACATCATTGCACAATAGAATGACTGTTCTCTACTTTATATGTATATATAATCTCTTTTAATATCTCCTGGAATTATCATTGGTTTTCAGAATTCCATTTACTTTTAACAGAAGAAGTGTATGTTGTTGTAAGAGATACGGTGATTTCAAGTATTTTTAACCAAGTATTTGGTGTATTGTTTAACAAATGTACGATATACAGTTTCATAAGTAATTGTTAAAATTCTGTACAGTAACAATATAAAAAATAAGACATTTAATATTTTAAACATATATACATGATTCTATTGGCAACTTTTCAGTGCTTTTTACTGAACACTGATGTAATGTGAATGAATATTGAACAACGCTAACACTGGACACCGATCGGTAGTTCTGCGGTGCGGCGCCTAAAAATCGGTTAATATACGGCGTGATCGGTTAAACAAGTGACCAGTTAAAATTTAGACCGGTTATGTTATATTATTTAACCGGAAATATTATAAAGTACAATAACATACTAGGTAGCGCTTATATAATGTAATAGGTAGCGCTTATATTTACATATTTTATAAGTAAACCGGTATATTTATACCGATAGCATTGCAACTTTACCTATTACATTATAATATGTTGAAAGTGCCCATACTTTTTATAAAAAAGATCGATACTTTTTTTAAAGTTATGTAATTTATGTTTCAATTTTTTTTAATATTGTTTCATGTTTTCCACCTACAATATTAATTTAATAATTTCATTTGCACAAAAAATTATTTAATTGTTTTGATATTTTATAAAATATTATTTAGAATTTAAATTTAACAATAATATATATCGTAACGTAAAAAATAAATCATTAGACGCCTATAATTACTAAATTAATATCTTAAAACTCACTCAAAAGATAATCTTAAATTAATGTTTTCCACAGTGAAAAAAGTATAGACACTTTTATAAAAAGGATAGATACTTTACAATATAACCACTACCTATTACATTATATAAACGATACCTATTACATTATATAAGCGCTATCTATTACATCATATTTTTACCTATTATATTGAAAGTGTCCATACTTTTTATAAAAAGGATCGATACTTCTTTTAAAGTTATGTAATTTATGTTTCAATTTTTTTTAATAGTGTTTCATGTTTTCCACCTACAATATTAATTTAATAATTTCATTTGCACAAAAAAATTATTTGATTGTTTTGATATTTTATAAAATATTATTTAGAATTTAAATTTAACAATAATATATATCGTAACGTAAAAAATAAATCATTAGACGCCTATAATTACTAAATTAATATCTTAAAACTCACTCAAAAGATAACCTTAAATTAATGTTTTCCACAGTGAAAAAAGTATAGACACTTTTATAAAAAGGATAGATACTTTACAATATAACCACTACCTATTACATTATATAAACGATACCTATTACATTATATAAGCGCTATCTATTACATCATATTTTTACCTATTATATTGAAAGTGTCCATACTTTTTATAAAAATGATCGATACTTTTTTTAAAAGTTATGTAATTTATGTTTCAATTTTTTTAACAGTGTTTCATGTTTTCCACCTACAATATTAATTTAATAATTTCATTTACACAAAAAATTATTTGATTGTTTTGATATTTTATAAAATAATATTTAAAATTTAAATTTAACAACATTAACCAAAGATAATAATATGTATATATATGTTTATTGTTTTTAATTTAATAATAATATATACCGTAACGTAAAAAATAAATCATTAGACGCCTATAATTACTAAATTAATATCTTAAAACTCACTCAAAAGATGTATATACCTAAATATGTAGTTATTGTACATATCTAAATATATAGTTATTGTACATACCTAAATTTAATGATAATATATACTTGTAGTTATTGTACATACCTAAATATGAACTGCGAATTTAATGTTGTACCCACCCTTTAACTACCACTACGAATGCCACATCCTATTGAAAGCAGCACGACTGAAACATGTTCAAAATGAACCTTTGCTGACATCTCCATCAACTCCTGGAGCACTGAACTTGCACAACAAAATTTTTGCCATGGATAATACTGATGTAGACAATGTTAAGCCAACCGAGGAATGCCATGAAGTACATAATGTTGATGAATCTGACAGATTGGTTGGTCAGCTCTTCTGTTCACGTGATCAAGCTTGGTACTTTTACAAGGGATTCGCACGGGAACATGGGTTTAGTGCACGTAAGGGAACAACACGGCTTGACGTGGAAGGGAATGTGAAGACACAAGAATTTTGTTGTTCCAAAGAAGGGTTTCGAGTATCAAAAGTCAATACTGTTGATCGTCAACGTGCTCATACGCCAGTCACAAGAACAGGATGTAAGGCTAGAGTCATAGTTACAGCAACAAATACAAACGATCAGTGGGTTATAAGTAAGTCTGATCAGAAACATATATCGTAAGTATCAACATGACTCCTATTGTATGTACATATAAATATTTTGAATGAATGAAGAAAAACCGCGTTACTTAAAATTACCGACACTTTTTTAAATGGTATCGACACATTTTTCTTCCAATCTGGACATAAAGTACCGACACAATATTAGAAAGTGTCGATATAGGTTGTAGACCTATTCGCTCATAAAACCGGTATATTTATACCGGTTATATTACAAAATTATCTATTACATTATAAATCTGGGTTCCGATGTGTAAATGTCGACACTTTTTTAAATGGTATCGACACATTTTTCTTCCAATCTGGACATAAAGTACCGACACAATATTAGAAAGTGTCGATATAGGTTGTAGACCTATTCGCTCATAAAACCGGTATATTTATACCGGTTATATTACAAAATTATCTATTACATTATAATTATGGGTTCCGATGTGTAAATGTCGACACTTTTTGACAATGTATCGACACATTTTTCTTCCAATCTGGACATAAAGTACCGACACAATATTAAAAAGTGTCGATATAGGTTGTAGACCTATTCGCGCATAAAACCGGTATATTTATACCGATAGCATTGCAAATTTACCTATTTTATTATAATATGTTGAAAGTGTCCATACTTTTTATAAAAAAGATCGATACTTTTTTTAAAGATATGTAATTTATGTTTCATTTTTTTAAGTATGTTTCATGTTTTCCACCTACAATATTAATTTAATAATTTCATTTGCACAAAAAATTATTTGATTGTTTTGATATTTTATAAAATAATATTTAGAATTTTTAATTTAATAATAATATATATCGTAACGTAAAAAAAAATCATTAGACGCCTATAATTACTAAATTAATATCTTAAAACTCACTCAAAAGATAACCTTAAATTAATGTTTTCCACAGTGAAAAAAGTATAGTCACTTTTATAAAAAGGATAGATACTTTACAATATAACCACTACATATTACATTATATAAACGATACCTATTACATTATATAAGAGCTACCTATTATATCATATTTTTACCTATTATATTGAAAGTGTCCATACTTTTTTATAAAAAGGATCGATAATTCTTTTAAAGTTATGTAATTTATGTTTCAATTTTTTTTAATAGTGTTTCATGTTTTCCACCTACAATATTAATTTAATAATTTCATTTACACAAAAAATTATTTGATTGTTTTGATATTTTATAAAATAATATTTAGAATTTAAATTTAACAACATTAACCAAAGATAATAATAAATATGTAATATATATGTTTATTGTTTTTAATTTAATAATATGTAAGTTATGTAATAGGTAGCGCTTATATTTACCTATTTTATAAGTAAATCGGTATATTTATACCGGTTATATTACAAAATTGTCTATTACATTTTTCAGTCGACACTTTTTTAAATCGACACTTTGTTGTGGATATCATCGAAAACAATGCTATAGTCATGTGTTTCGATACATTTGCAAGCAGATGTAAAATACATTAGTATTGATATTTCAACAATCCTCAAATGTATATGTACACATAGAAGCAAATATGGAATAATTAATGAAAATATACACACAATATAATCACACCAAAATATAAATACACAAGAATATTCAAATAATGTACCGACAAACAAAATTAATCCGATGAAAAAGGGTTATTTCTAACGAAGTCCGGAACATTAGAGGCCTTCAACAAATTTTCCAAATACTCTCGTATGTTTCCGCCTTTTTCTGAGGACATACATAAATAATTTCAATTATCAAACTAATGAGGTGCAATTTTACTAACAATAAACTAAATTCGCATAAGCATGAATAAATTTGTGTCATACCTAGAGCATTGTCGTTCGAATGGGAAGCAGCGTCAAAGGTATGTGGACATATGTAATTGTATTTCTATATAAACACATAAGTTGTTAAAATAATCAATGTCTGAACACCTGTTCAACTGGAAAAACATATTGCATAAATGCAACTTACCGGATTATAAATCATTTTTTCCGCTGAATCATCGACCAAAAGTGTATTTAGCTCGTTAAAATCTGGACACGCGTTCCAAACATCATTGAGATCTTTACAGTAGGTAATAGAATCGTATGTTTTGCATTTTTTTTTATCCTGTTCACAAACAGTCAAACATAAATATGTAGGAATCATAGACAACGAAAAGTCAGCAAACTGTAATGACATTCATCTTACCCACACGAATAGAAAATGCTCGGAAAATACAGGTAGTTTCTCAAGTACACGGTCGGCGTTATGCCTGAGATTGTAATCAAGTTTGAATGTTAACATTCAAATGTATATTAACGATTTTGACTACAGTAATTCAATTGCTTCAAACATGTTCTAACCTCATCTTTGAAGACCAAAAGGCAACAACAAAATTGTC